TGGTTTTGTCATGGAATTCATTATATCTTCAGTCGATTACAATAAATTCAAACTGTCTCGCTGGCCGAGATAGTGTTTGCTGTCTCGCCCAGCGAGACAGTAAATTTGCTGTCTCGCCCAGTGAGACAGTAAATACTGTCTCGGAAAATGTAGTTTCTCATTGTAACCGCTCTCCCACGTTTTAAATTCCGTTATTCTGGCAGTTATCAACGTGATTCTCGCCCACGACGTTTCCCACGTTCTTGAACAGTTAGTGGCCACGTGTCGACGGTTGCAAAACAGTTTCTTGAACCACTGATAACTGTCTCGTGTGCGAGACAGTAAATTCTGTCTCGTACGGCGAGACAGTAAATACTGTCTCGCAGGGGCGAGACAAGACAGAAAAAGTCTGTCTCGCGGGGCGAGACAGTAAAGACTGTCTCGCCAGGTGAGACAGTAAAGACTGTCTCGCCTGTGAGACAGTCTATACTTGTGTTCTTTTGCCTTTTTGGATGATTTCCTCTTGAGCTGTATTTGGATATCTTTCAGCATTTTTTGACGCCTACAGTTAACAGTCGAAAAAACGGTTCAAAACAGCACAAACTGTATTTTTTTTTGTCTATGGACACCGGTTCGTCGACTTACTTCATGCGTTCATCGACGTCAATTAAACTTCTGTGACTCGAATAGTGACGTTTATCGTCTCCTCTCTGTTTCGAACTACGTGCGAGGACCCATAGGTAATTTTAACGCCTATAACATACAACCCAAAATTTCTCCTCTCGTTCCTCTCACTCTCTTCCCCCTCGCTCTTCCCCGCCCCCTACGTTTCTGCTGATGAGCCCTGATTATCTGAGTATTTGGTTGTGCATGAGGCTGAGAAGTACTTGCTCCATCAGCATGTGAAGTGTCGGCTCCATCGTCATCGTCACGGGACCTATGTCGTCGCGTGTACATTTGCCCGCTTGATCTGAGTATCAATTGTAGTTGTGGTACATTGCAAGTGCACGTACACGTGTGATCCACAAGCATATTGACTTTGTACGAGAAACTTTCTCTATGTGATATTCCCTTAATGACATCTCATTCATTAAAACTATATCTTACGACATGAAATGATCGAGCGGAGACAATCCGAGCCGCTAACATTTCTTCAACCTTTAGCGTGAGCCCTGAGAAGATATTTGCACCAAGTTCTCGACGTTAGAGAAATAAATTATTAAGTCTGTAAAATATTTTAGTAACTAGTAACAGTATTGGCATACCGTGTGTTCCCCTAAGCACACCATTGAAACTCTCAGAAGCGTTCGTAATCATACAGAACCGCTTGCCGCCATCTTCACAATAAAACCCACTTATCAACATTGTGTGGTCCCAAACTAGTTTCAATCCATTCATGTGCAGCTCGTGAAATGAATTTAATCCTCTCTCGTATTTGATCATAAACTAATTTTTCTGTTGCACAACCGGCTTGCTAAAAAAGATCTTGAACCTGCCTGTTTCCATGCTTCTTTTTGAAGTTGTCCCTAATATGTCGCAAGCAATAACGATGTTCATGTGACGACGGGAAATGTTGTTGGAGTGCTCTTGGAATTCATTTTATCCTATCAGATATGAATGTAATCGACCGAGCCCCCACACTAGGGATATGATATCTAATGCATGCAAAAAATCATGTCTAATTCTTTGTGTTTTCAATATCAACCACTGCAAACGCCAAAGAAAATAATCTGCTATCTACGTCAACTCCGGTTGTAACAAGCAAAACGTCTTTGTACTTACCGTACAAGTGAGTGCTATCAATGCTAAGAAGAGGACGATAATATCTGAAACCCTCAATACAAGAACCAAATGCCCAAAATACACCTGTGAACCATTATTCTCCATCATCAACAGGGTTTGATGATACTTCATAGATAGTCCCCGGATTTCCTCTTTTGAGTGCTTCGAGATAATGTGATAAGATCTCATAAGATTTGTCCAAATCCCTGAATATTTTTATCATCGATTTCCTCCTAGCATTCCAACACTTGTTGTATGATACATCCAATTTGGTTGCTTAATGCACTAAAAGACGAATAGCTTTTGGCCTTAGATCAAGATCCTCCCTTAGATTAGGTAAAATAAATCGATATATAAAAGATGTGGACGCATACTTGTTATTCATCTCTAATCGGGGATTGCTACATGTGTGGAGTCTGTTATAAGCCGTGATTTTAAATTGTCCGCCTACTCTTACACCCAAACGTGAATTAAGTTTTCAAGGACATTTCACATTGCCATCGTAGTGTCCACCATTATCCTCGTCTTCGCCATCTTTGCTATAAAAACAAACCACATTATAGCTTGTTACGTTATTTTTTGTTGGTCTAAACTTGACATTTTTTTTCAATTACCCACAAACGAAGCACATGGATCAATTTCTCCTTACTTTCAAATAAATCCCCCTTCTTGAATGAGAAGTCCTCGTCTTGTGTATTATCAACGATACTAGTGTCGATAGGAATACTTTTCATCGTAGAGTTATCAATCCATTCTTCTCCATGAATTTCATCGGACGGCGGATCCTCTAACACGACATACTAATTATTAGTATAACATCCGTCAATGTGTTAGGTGTCCCCTTCATCACGATCAATCAAACACGTCATGCTATTAATTTGTAAGTCATCATCTTCATCACCATCCTCTGATTCGACACTTACATTATCATCTAGATGGACCGTGTTAGTAAGTATATTCCGTCATGATTCACCGATTGCCCAAATTTCTCTGATGTTTTTCAATAAATAATTCCACCGAACGCTTCTCGTTGTGTAACACTCCAATGAGACCCATATCATAGTCACTTGAGATTTGAACGCCGCTTGTTTTGTTCTCCCTAACAGGATAATTGCAAATAATATTGAGGTGATACTCACATGAGTTGGTTAATGTAAGTCATTAACCAATTCATCGAAAGTATAACGATTTTTATATAAACGGCTCCGTACACCTTCATAAATGGACATATTATTTTCGAGATAGTTAATCTTCCCATCATATGAACAAAGAATTACGATTCGATCGTTCATCGTTACCTCTCAAGAGTAAAAAAATCAATATCAATATTAGAAACACATAATTAGAAACCCATAATTTTAACCATTAAATCTCTTAGATCGATATTAAAAACCCATAAACTTTACATTTTGTTAACTTCACGGTTACAAATTTCGATAATTTCCCCTCTAACTTCATACACAATATTATTTTTTCTTCACAAATTTCATAAATAATTACAAATTTATTCAAAAATCTAATTTTTTACAAGTAATCACCAAGAAATTGTGAGAATATACAAAAATTTTGAATTGAATTTTTTTTAGATTTTACATTAATATTGATGATGCCCTAATTTCGGTGAACTCTGACGGTGACGACGGGGTGAGGGCCGACGGGAGGGGCGACGACAGGGTCAAAGGCGACACCGGTGAGGGGAGGGGGTGAGGGCCAGATGTGGAGGGAGTCGGGCTCAAGAGGAGTGGGGCTAGGTTACGGGTCAGCCATCGCTTCTGCCTTATATAGGCAGAGCGAAAACTCCACGGGACTTCAAGTCCCGTGGAGTTGCAGTTCTCATTTTCTAGAGCCGCGATTCTCTGGAAAATAAGCCTGAAACTTCACGGGACTTGTGAAGTTTCAGCGTTAAAACAAAACTTCACTGGACTTGAAGTCCCGTGAAGTTTTTGAACTTTGAAACTTCACGGGACTTTAAGTCTCGTGAAGTTTAGCAGCTTAACAAAATGTCTGCTAAACTTCACTGAACTTCAAGTCCCGTAAAGTTTGAAAACTTTTTTCGCCAAAACCGACCTGGTTTGGACTGAAACCAGGTCGGTTTTGACAAATAAACTTGAAAGGGATCGTTTTTGGGGATTAAGTTTGCAAATAGGTCTCTTTTAAAAATTTGTCAATAAATAAAATAATGACAAAATAATTATATATTACAAAGTAAATAACTTATTAATGATAAATCACATATATTATAACAAATATTAATATAAGAATATCATAATATAATTATATTATATTATATTATAAAAAGAAAATGTTATTAGTTATATATAATATTATAATATGTTAAATATATATAATATTATAATATATTAATTAAAATAGATTATATTATAATTAATATTTAATATATTAATAATACATTTAATATTAATGTTATAAAAGGTCAAACTATTGTTGACCAAAAACACTTATCGTGGTGTTCTGTAAACACTTTTGAAGAAAAACACCAGTGTTTTAAAAACACCATATAAAATCACCATGGCATCCAAACATAATAAACAGTACTGCTGTTGCAGTTGTTCTGTGTTCAATCATTGTGAGGGATTCTTTACCACAAAATTTAAGTGTGCACAAGAATCCATTTTCCACGGACAAGATTATAATGACATGAACCGAAGCGTCAAAGGAATGTAATGGGTGCCTGGACATCAAGGAAATAAGTCCAACAAATTTGACCTGATTTGATTTCTGTAACATGTAACGACCACAGTAACAACCACATAAAAGACTCAACTATATGTTCTGAATTGTATATGGAACTATCTAATAACTATTTGTCTATGTTGATCCGTTATCAAACACCCGTCTGTAATTAATTAATCAAGACAAAACCCGATCTGACCAAATCTGCAGAAGTAATTGAGAGGCAGGAAAGACTCAAATATCTGTTTTGGATTAAATTTAGAACTATCTAATAACTATTTCTAATTTATTATCAAAACAATGCATAAGCCTTAAGTTCAGAGGCAATACCGCTTGTTATTACTTATTAGAATTGCTAAAAGATCAGAACAATTTCAACCATGCATACAAGGATCATAAGCAATAGTAACAATTCATTGTCAACTCTTAAGTCTAAATATAAATCCATAGCATGGTATGAGAGATATTATTTTAATTTTCATATAAAAGAAAGATGAAAGATAGATGCTATGGATGAGAGAATAGACTTTGATGTATGTTCAGATACATACCTAGGGAGAAATAATTTCTTCCGAGCTAAGTGAATCCAGTAGCTATGAGACCCGGTTTGTCAACTACAAAACCAAGTTTTGAACAGCAATAAAGGTATAAGAAGATATTCTTCATTAACATAGCTTATTTAAATTAAACATATTATTAATCCATAAAACACACAGGTAGAATTTAGCAGAAGAGAGATTTGTTAAATTTTTACAGGATAAAGAACTCAAAATATGGAACAAAAGGTGATGGAGAACAATACACAAAATACATTACAAGGGTCAACGTTACTGAAGTTTCACCTTTTCCTTGCATATCTTTGATAAGGCTTCAACATGAAAACTTTGCAACTCTTCAAGAGCTCTGACATCTAGACCATCAAGATCTTCCCCCTAAATGTACGAGAAAAGTGAATTCAGTCGTACTCATTAATTAAAATTTGCCAAGGCTACAGTTTGTGTCTTTTATCAGAACATTTACCAGTACAGCTTAGCCATTAGCCAACTAAGATATCATAAACAGAGAACATGGTTCTATAGATCGAACAGATTTTCCTCGGTTAACAAGACTTTCTGTCCTCAATTAAGCAAAATTAGTCAAGCCATTGCCAGCAACAAGCATCCATAGATTAACTAAAATATTTCTCGACAGGTCGTTGAACTAAATCGATCCCAAAACTACAATAATTCTCAGTTTTTATCATATTACAGGAAATTTCATTTTTATCAAAGAAAGACGAAAACAACCCTATAACTATGTGACAAAATGATATTTTCAAAAACTACTTTGACCAAACCAGCATTCACCTAGAACTAATGACCAAGGATGGATTATATGATGAATTTTTCAGGATAATGCTTCAACAAACAAACAAAAGTAAAACAGAAAGAGAGAGATAAAGGTTAATGGAAGAAGAGTTAAATAATAGGTCCTTCCAGAGTATGTAAGTGTAAAATAAGAATGTGTTGAATCAAGTTATCAAGGCACACAAAACTGGTGACTCAAGTGATTTTTCTGAACAAGATACTTAAAGGGAGTGAAGATAAGATCATAAGAGGTTGATCAGTCATACATGATCTGCATGCAGTAAGAACTACAATCTACGCCCAACAGGTCTTGTTCAAAGATGCATTTCATATCTGGCAACTTGCTACTTATGCATCCATACATCTATGCCAGGTTTTATAATTCGTATCATGTCCAATTTGATTTAACCAAAAGAATTATAAGATTCTGTGAGATCTACAGCAACACATAGGTTTTATAGCTAATAACAAGACAAGAAGATTAATCAGTTACTGCAGCTAAAAAGGTAAACAAAAAATGGATGGCTATTATATATTTAAATACTCTTGTAGGCAGGAAAAAAAATTCCATACCTTCAGTCTAGAAACAATGCCTTCTAGTTCTTTGCATCGTTCTCTCTCATATGCATAAGCAGCACTTACTTCTTGTGAACCATTTATATCATCATTAGGCATCCCAACAAAAGGTTTGTTCCCCATAAAGTTTACACCAGAAGTGCCGTGTGATGAAATAAAACCATTATGCTGAAAATCAATGTCATTCAACCCTTCAGATAAGGTTTCATTAGAAAGCATCCCATTCCTCTTGAGTTTTGCAACAAGAACCCACATATTTGCAAGTTCGTTTTCCAAGTCTTCTTCATGTTGTTTTGACTCATCAATTCTTCTTTGTAGCTCAGCTTCTTTTCGATTTTTTTCTGACAATGCAGCCTCCAAAGAAGCTTCTTTCTTACATCTGGCAACAATCTCTTTCTTTAACTCCTCAATGAAAACGCTATCCCTCTGACCATTACTAGATCTACCAAGGGAGAGATAATCCTTTGATGCAGCTAAGTCCCCAGTCAATTTTGCGTTTTGGTAGGAAAGTTTTGTGACTTCTTCAGCCAAATTTCTAAGTTCAACTGCTGCAGCAGCAGCCAATTCTTTTGCATAAGATGCTTCCTCAGCTAGTTTTTGGCTATGAATTTCAAGCCCATCTTTTTCCTCAGCTAACCTCACCTGCTCTTGCTTTAGATTTTCAATTTCAGCAGCCTGCATCAGAATGAATAAGGAATATATTTTAAGAACTTAACAAACAATCTAAAGAAGTTTACTGTAACTGATGGAAATAAATTTACCTGCATGAGAACTTGAGCCTTCGCAGATGTGTCACCATCAGAATCCTTGCATGAGACAAAGCTTTCTGATAGGTCACCATTTTCGATAGATAATTCAGCGGCACAAATCTTACACAGGCTATCCTTATGACTGCTCTTATCTAGCAAGGAGCGGACTTGCTGCTTTAGTGACGTTACAGTTTCTTGAAGTTCTACATTTTCAGGTATCTGTCACAGTTATGAAAGCTTGTCATAATTTGGTGTATTACAACTACAGACCAAAAGGATGTTCATAAAATACGCTGATTCACCTTCATTTGTAGTTGTTCCCGAAGAATCCTATTGTCAGCAGATGTGATCTACAAGGAAGTGGAAAGGGTGTGTTAATGTAAACACAAAAGAAAGATACCCATAGAGGCAGTAGTGGACAAACCTCAAGTTCAAATGTCTTCTCACTTAATTGACTAGTCAGCTCTGAAAACGCCTGCAGAAGGTGACAATGATTAGAAATATGATAGAAAAACGAAATGTGAATGGAAAAGGTCATAACCCATCGAATATAATCAACCTATATGAAGTGACTTTTCACCTCAAAAGCACAAGACCTCATTAAAAAATGATTCATTTAATAGAACGTGATAAACTAAAAACAGTTGAAGACGCTAGAAGGAATCACAAGAGAAAACAAACAATTGGTACATGCACATGCGCCCACACCCATAGCCACTCACCACCACCACCTTGCCTCATGCTAACCAAGATTCATCTTTATTTAGTTTATTTATTGCCTTTAATATCTCCAATCAAGCTCTAAAGCCAATAATCAGCATACAAGAGTTCAAGGGCCCCTCAACACTTCAGGTAAAGTAAAAGGTACCTGAGTTAAGTCAACATTGCTCGACGACTGTGCAGTCTCTTCAAAAGATCCCACCATCCGCTGCTCAAGTATGCGCATTTGGATCTTCTTTTCATTGATTTCATCCTTCAACTTCTGCATTTGCTCCTGCATCAGCATTGAAAAAGCATTTGATATTTAACCCATTACAGGAAGCCACTCATAATTTGATAAATAACACAAATCACCAAATTGACCTCCAACATATAACAGGAACCTAGCTGTTGAGACTGTTCACTTTTGTAATATAAACAAAGGATAGCTGACATGCCTGAATCTGTGAATCTTCTGGGTAGCCGGCTGCTTGTTCAGTCAGTCTCTTAAGAGAGCTCATACATAGTGCTACTTCGCCAGCCAACATCTTGACCTGCTCGCGGAGAAGATCCACTTGATCTATTATGGTTGTTCCAGTCTGCACGAGAGTCAAGCATGTTTGTAAATAACTACAGTATGAGATTCAGTGAGTGATACTACTAAAACCATAGGTATCCAGTCAGAAAAGCCTTGAGTAATGAAGTTGATCATCGGTTAGATGTTACATTGCAAGTAGGAGGTAGCAAAGGATTGAAACAGAATAAGATTAAAAAAAGACTTGAGCTGAATATTCAAACAGTATAAAGCTTGATGAGAAGGACACAGTGTACACAGACTAAAATGAACATGACAAGATACAATCAGGAAATCAAATATATGCATCATAATTGTTAGATATTATTGGTACTTAGGTTTAGTAGATATTATGAGATATTATGAGATATTATTGAGATATTGTGAGATGTGATTTTATCTCATGGCTATTTTGTAATACCATCCTAATATCTATTTAAGAGAGGTTAGGGTTAGATGAATTATAACTTTGCCTTCTCTATTTCTCTACATAGTATCAGAGCCTACTCAATCATAGCAACTTCTCCCATCTTTCTAAAATCTCAAGGTCATCGATGGGGTTTTGCATGGCCTTCATGCTCCCCTCGGCGGCTACGACAATATCTTTGATGGCATCGACGGCTTCAACATCAACAACTTTAGCATCATTGTTTTCTAGATCTTATCAAACACCCTCCACATAATAACCTTTAAAACAAGGTTGGTATCTACTGTTCACGAGATGAACAACACCGAAGTTGCAGCTCATATATGAAGAGTAATCGGAGTTACCGTGCGCTTCAACAAGAGGAGGAGAGTTCTTGATCAGAGCCTTCATCACCCGTCCGAGCCTTAGTATTAGCCTTAGCATTAATACTAAGAAGAGCTACTACCTCGCTTTAGCCGAGGTATACGCTTATAGCTTCCCGATCCCACGCAGATCGACGAAGTTCTGCTTCTAAAATCCCTCCACGGATAGACGAAGCTCTGCCCGATTTTCTCGGAACAGATCTGATTGCCCCGGTGGTCCACGGATATCAACATCCCCGTCACAGGCCAAAGACCCACGCAAGCAAGAGATGACAAACAGCTCTTGCGTTTGTTTGAAAGGAGTTGCATTTCTTTTGTTTTCATTGTGTACCGGTCTTATAAAAAGACTACTTTTTTATTTCATTGTAACGATCAAAGTTGTAATGAATGCAGCAATGAATACAGCGACTTTTTCCGCAAACAAGCTGGCGACCACAGTGGGAGCCAACGGCATCGCAACCGACGCCGTCGTGACGCAGCCGGCATTCAAGATCCGGGTGAATGAAGAACACGAGCTCGATCAACAACAGTTCAAAGAAGGCCTCTCTTCCTCACTTTAGCATCATTGTTTTCTAGATCTTATCAAACACCCTCCACATAATAACCTTTAAAACAAGGTTGGTATCTACTGTTCACGAGATGAACAACACCGAAGTTGCAGCTCATATATGAAGAGTAATCGGAGTTACTATCAACTCTTCAGCGTCGTTGGTAGTTATATGCTACGACAGCAGTTCTCTTTCAATGTTGGTTCTATTGGCTTACCCGCCCGCCTAGGGCTTCTGGCTTAGGTATCTACTGTTCACGAGATGAACAACACCGAAGTTGCAGCTCATATATGAAGAGTAATCGGAGTTACTATTAACTCTTCAGCGTCGTTGGTAGTTATATGCTACGACAGCAGTTCTCTTTCAATGTTGTTTCTACTGGCTTACCCGCCCGCCTAGGGCTTCTGGCTTACCTGCCTAGGGTTTTAACTAAAATACCCGCCTAGAGTTTTTACTAAAATACCTGTCTAGGGTTTTTACTAACATACCTGCCTATGAATTCTACTGGTTAACCCGTCAAGAGTTTCTATTGGCTGACCCGCTAAGAGCTTCTACTGGCAGACCCGCTTAAAATTTCTACTGGCTTATCCTTCTAGAGATTCTGGCTTACTCGCATATGGTTTCTACTAGCATACCCACCTAGGATTTCTACCGGCTCACCCGCCTAGGGTTTTTACTAATTAACACGCCAATACTTTCTATTTGCCGACCCTCCTAGAATTTTTACTAGCTAAACGACCAAATGTTTCTACTGGCTGACCAGCCTAAGGTTTCTACCGCCTGATCCGTCTAGAAGTTCTACCGACTAACCCGTCTAAGGCTTCTCTCTATTGATTGACTCGCCTAGGGTTTCTACTGGCTGTTATGTGAGGTTCTGAAACCTTGAGCGATGCTTTTGGTGTTGTTTCTGGACATTATGAGCTGAAACGAACAAGGAGAGTTTGAGTAGGAGAGAATTGAGAGAGAAGGTGAACAGAGACTGGAATTGAGAGTTTAGAGAAGAACTTATTTCATTCATAATCCTCTTTTGATGTTACACTTCGTTACTTATACCAAATCCAAAGTTACAAGAATGTGCACGTGCACAAATAATATTAACAGAAAACAGTTGAAGCAGTTTGAGCCGAAACAAAACATTTATTACAAAGGATCCTTATTTAATAGACTTTGCATATCAATCTCTTCACTTTGCGTGTCGGCCCTCCTGCTTCTTATGCCTTTGCGTATTAGTCCTATCTTGCATATCAGTCCTATCTCTAAATCGGCTGATTCTCTTCCTTCAATCAACTGATTTTTAGCTCCTGACAATTCCCTCTCCTTAATTTGGGCCTTGTCTCAAGGTCAAATGTAGGAAACCTTTTAACCAAATCCCTAACTAACTTGGAGCACCCTGCAGTCAGTACCTCTGGAGGTTTCTCACTAAAAACAATGACTGTATCAGCCAGCAAAAGAGAGAAGTTCTGAGTCTTCGGATTTTTTGTCTCAGCTTGAAGGTTCTGGAAGCCAAGGGACACATTAAAAACCATGCCGGCTTTTAAAAGGTGATTATTGTTTAAGTTCAACCCAGATTCACGAAACTCAAGGTCAATCCCTGTTCCTGCAAACCTGGTAAGATTTGGGAGGAATTCTGGAGCTTCTTTCTCCACGACAGAAACAACAGCCTGGTAAGCAGCACCAGCCTTGTTGTCGGGTTTCAGCATGGCGATTGCAGTGTCATGAGTCTTGAGAAGAACCTCATACTCCTTGGTGTGAGTTGGAGTTACATCAATCATAAAAGTTCTGGTAATATTCGAACAGTAGCTGCTATATCGTGATCTAATTGCGGATATGATCACACTAGCCGAATCATAGAACAGATTATCATCGTTGCTTGATGCACTTGGCTTCAGATCAAACTTACCGCCGCTCTGAAATATTGGCGGGTAACATATATCAACATTTCCTGCCTTCAGCTTCACTTCGACCTTGGTCGGATCAATTATAACCTTCTCAGCGGCACCCATCAGCGATGAATGACTAACCTTTTTCTCCTTATCAATAGTTCTCTCGAGTTGCGGGACTACAAAATGTTTAAACATTGATGAAGTTAAATGGACAGGTTTCTTCACACAGGTAAGCTCAGTAGCATCCTTGACAACAAATAATTCAGCGAACCCATTTGTTACATTGGTAAGCTTTAACCCCGAGCCGATTAGCTTTTCTGACCATGTCTCTAGGAGCTTCCCTTCAGGTGTCTCTTTTGCTATATAACCAACAACTGAATCTTCCGATTGAGAACAAATCACACCCAATAATTGTTCTATTGATGTAGAACCATCATTATTCTTTACCTTAACATGTATCACAACATCTACACCAGCAGCTTCTTTAGCAGATTTCCTAATGGTTTTGAGCAGCGAAGCCTTCTTTTGGCTACACAAGAAATGAACGTGCATGCTCATAAAAACCATGATTGTTTCTGGAAATTCATAGGCCACCAACCAATTTGCCATTGACATTAGCACGTCCTTGCGATTGAGGAGTTTGTTCCTTTCGTGGATCATTCTTGCTCAATTCAGCCATCATTCCATATTCAATACTTTTGAGCAAATCTTTAAGGGTATCTTCAACATTTCCCACCTTTATGGAGACCAATTGTTTCTCAATCTCCACCCAATTATTCTTGACTGCTTGGGACAAACCAATCTTGAAAATTTAACCACCAACTTTTTCCTCGAGCTCGGCCCTCGAAATTCCCTCAGGAGGCACCGCTGAAAAAACCTGAGCCTCCGACGATCCGTTTAAATCATACAACTTCGCTTCCTCCGTCAACAATCATTTGTCCTTCTTTACACCATGCGACTCGATGAATTGGAATGCTGAGAGACTCTTGATGACGATCTCGAGTTCCCCGTGGCCTATTCCGATGCTAGAAGCGAATTCAAGCTTCTTGGAGCTGGGCTTCTGTTGTGATCGTAACGGAGTGGAATTTCAGTAAATTCCCATCGGCCCGAGGCTGACTCCGCTCCGACGAGACTCTTGGACCCTTTTCCCAGTTGAACGCGGCGACAGTTTCCTCTTCTTACTTGAGATTGACTATGACGGATTCTTGAGATTTGGCTTCCTCTTGCTTAAGATTGGTCATGGCGGTTTCTTAAGCTTTGACTTTTGGTGGAGACGAGAAGATTGTGGCTTCTTCGTCTTTTTCATCCTTGCATCAGGTCGCTCCTTCAAGGTCTTATGGGTATCAGGACTGATCTCAATTACAATCGTAGGCTTAGGCTTGACTGTAACTGTCTTTTGCTTAACTTCTTTGATAAGGGCTTTTCTTGTATCTCCATCAGCAGCAAGAACCACTGGCTTCTTTGTTCTTGACAGCATCAGCTTGAGTATTCGCAAGGAGTTGAGCACGAAAGTTTCTGGTAATTGGACGCGAATTTGATGTAATGGCTTTCCTTCGACGACGGCAGGACGAGCGCCAACTACATTGCCTATGTCTCCGAGGGTTCGCCAATTCTTGTCGTCTTGAGCAGCAACATCATTCTTAGCTTTTGCTTTTGGTATACCTCCATCAAAACTGTAAGATGGCTGAAATTCTTCATTGAAATCATCACGTCCTTGCGATCGCTCATTGTTGTAATTATCTTGCAGCTCACTGAGATTGGAAATTTGTATGGCTAATTAACAACATCTATCATAAATATTGCGCCCTTGTAGAGAATTCATTGCTTCCACCGTATTTTGCTGTGATTGAAATTGTATAAGAGCTTGAAAGCCAACTGACTTCTGAAAGGTGACGATCTTCTCTACAAATTCATATGGAGAAACACTTGATGCAGCACTTCCATCGTTATAAAATAGAGCATTATGTGAATAGTGACTAAGAGGATTCGATTGGGTTGTGAATCCTGATCTGCACCCTTCTGTCTATGAGAGTTCTTCTCTTATCCCACGATTCTTTGGTCCAGATTCTTGGAATTCCTGAATTCTTGGACAAAAATCTGAAACTGAGAAGACAACTCATTCATTGCTGCTCTCAATTGATATTGGGGTCGATAAAGCTCTGATACCAATTGTGAGGTTCTGAAACCTCGATCGATGTTTTTGGTGTTGTTTCTAGCCATGATGAGCCTGAAACGAACAAGGAGAGCTTGCGTAGGAGAGAATTGAGAGAGAAGGTGAACAGAGATTGGAATTGAGAGTTTAGAGAAGAACAACTTATTTCATTCATAATCCTCTTTTGATGTTACACTTTGTTACTTATACCAAATCCAGAGTTACAAGAATGTACACGTGCACAAACAGTATTAACAGAAAACAATTGAAGCAGTTTGAGCTGGAACAAAACATTTATTACAAATGACCCTTATTTAATAGACTTTGCATATCAACCTCTTCACTTTGCATGTCGGCCCTCCTGCTTCTTATTCCTTTGTGTATCAATCCTATCCTACATATCAGTCCTATCTCTAAATCGGTTGATTCTCTTCCTTCAATCAACTGATTTCCATCTCCTGACATGTTACTACAATTTTTCGTTCACTAACGTCTTCAAGTATTCTGAATAAAGATGACATTGTCAAAACTCTTGCAACTAGCTGTTCTATTTAGATTTGTAACAAACTAGACATACATAGTAATATATGCTCCAGGTTGAGGGGGAGTGTTAGATATTATCAGTATTTAGGTTTAAGAGATATTATGTGATATTATTGAGATACAAAGATGTGATTTTATCTCATGCCTATTTTGTAATATCCTCCCAGTCTCCATTTAAAAGAGGTTAGGGTTACATGAATAATAACTTTGTCTTCTCTATTTCTCTACAATAATGACATACTTTATCCATATAAAAAAAGAATTCTCAAGCTTCTTACTAAAATGGACAGGAAATGTTCTGTATTTACTAATAAGAATATGTTATCTTATCCAACTATTTCTCCTCCACTGCCCTGCCCCATTTGTGTCCGGTGCTTTTCGGTCTCTTTCACCTTTAGTCCCAACATTTCGGGGTGTAATATAATAAAGAAAATGGAAAATGAAAGACCAAAAATAGATCAAGTTACATTGAAACTGATATTTCCCAACATTATGCAGGCCAAGTAGCAATATGAAATGCTTATAGCATCAGCAATAATTATGAGGAGATAAGAGCTAAGAAAGAGTCAGTAACAATAATTTATTCAATATAATCATGGAAAAAACTTTGAACCAGTAACTAATGAAGATTAAAGGCATGTATGGTTATATATTCCATCACTACATCTAAAATGTTTCAGATGATGGGGGAGAAAACTCCAATGCAGTAAACATGAGCAAAAAAAGAACTATTACTGCATTCAGAGATTTACCGTAATGTAAATTATCTAGTGTGAGAAGGATATAGGACGCCAAGCCAGAACAAGTAGATGAACCAAACCAACAAATTAAGAAAACCAAGTCTCATGATGAAATCTGGACAAGACGTTTCATCATAGACTAGTTATATTACTAGGCTACAAATATTAACCCCAGAGAAGAGCCTCACCGGTGGGGGTCGACGTCCATTGACTGTTACACTAAATAGATCGCCAGCTTGTGTTCTTTGAGGGAATGTATCAATGACTACAGAAGGATCATCTCCCTTTATACTTACAGATCTCCTCCGTCCATCTTTCATGTCAACTGACTTATGTTTTTGATGTGATGACTGTGAGCAGGATGGGGATCCACTAGTAGAACTCTCACTATCAGCACTAGGCGAAAATCCAGAAAGATACTCAGGTTTCTGCATCAAATGCATTTATGTCATGTATCTATTTTATTGGTATGAACAGAAATATTGCAAGTCACTTTTAAAAGAAGAAAATAAGACTAAAATCTCAGTTTGCAACGGAATGAAAAATCAGTAGAAGTTTGATTAGGCACCACCGAATTATGCCTATAGGGAACCAGATACATTAGCAAATGTGAAAGAACATGAAGATCCATATCAGGATGGGTACTATTGTACATGTTCATGTTTAATGAGTGTAAACCAACTCGTGAAGATAAAAAGAGTGATTGGCAAAGCTACACACTTCTAGAAGAATTTTGTTTTACATAAATAAATTAAAATTGCATAGACATAGGATTCTTCTAACCAATTTTTTTTCTATAGAAGCCGCCACGACAAATAGGTAGGTTCAAATTTCCTACGGTAAATAAGTTATGATAGACAAGTCAATTGTCTCTAAGAAACCAATCTTTCTTCGTCATGTAGCGACAAAATAATCCATATCATGTAGTTACTAACCAGTTACTCACCAAAGGTCTTGTTAAGGCTGGGATCTGCAAGAGCAACTTGAAACTCAATGTGGGGCAAGTGCTAAAAAAGGTCTTGTTGTCAATGGCCCAAATAAGACTAGTACCTAAAATAATAAGATTGCATTTGGCTAGTGAGATGGTGGAGGATAGGAGTATGAAAAGAGCTGCCCTTGCTGCAGTTGTTTATACTCTTTGGCAAGAAAGAAATTTCTGAGATCATGGCAAGGAGAAAAGACAACCAGGTCAGTTGGCAAAGTATATCCAAATTGTTTTGTTCATCTCCCTTTATAGCTGTAGAATTCTTTAAAGGTATCAGTAGTGGGTTCGGTCTTTGTGAGCTGTTTTGGTTTGTATCCTATAAGGATGAGTTGGTTTTGTGAAGGTTATGAGTAGTTTTCATGATGTATATAGAATAAACTCTGTTCCTAGTGTTTTTTTAAATTCAAGTAAGACTTAGCTAGATATGTACTTAACACTATTTAGTTGAATGGAATTGGGTTTATTCCTAGAAATCATCTTTAAAACAGGGTCATCCTATGGAAACTACATTTGATTGTCAATTTATACGTAAATCGCCATTAAATAGTTTTTTATTGCAATCAATTACCTGGACTCACTTTTAATTCAAAATTTTTATGATTCTATCGTTCTCGACAAATTGGCGTTGATACTTCTCATGACGCCTGAACGACTCTTGAGCATCATTACTCGCAACAAAATCGAGCCTATAGGATGCAGTTGAGCACTCAACTTTGCCAACTTACCAAAGGCTCTCTCCCCAAGGCTAAGTATCTCAATAGTTCAAAGATGATTGTTGATAACTTGGCTGCCAGGAGTATGCTCAATTTCGCATGGCACTTAATGCTTCTAGCATTACACACATGATCGATTCTCTTCATGGTGTGTTGTTGATGCAAGAAGCCTCATTGCTACTTGATTTGACCTATGCTTCTAAAAATTCAGTAACAACCCCAATGGCGCATCTCACTAACTTCCACCCTCGAGCCTCATTAACATCCTCTAGTTCTCAACTACAATCTGCACTCATGATACTAAATGGTCGACAATTCTTTCAACCATCACAACTCTACAAAAATAAAAACGGTCATGGAAATCGAGGGAACAAGTGTTGATTTTGTAATCGATTTGGCCACACTGCTCTTGTGTTCCATCATCGATACTATACAACCTACCAACATAGCTCACCTCACAATAATACTCCACAACCTAATGTGGCTCTTCTTCCTACTCCTTCAAACATCAACAATGCTTATAACTGGTTTCTAGACTCTGGAGCAGCACATCATGTTACATATGGTCATGGCAACCTCTCTATTCAATCTGACTATAGTGGCACTGAACAAGTGAAAATAGGTAATGGCTCGGGTTTGATGATTTCTCACACGAGCACTTCCTCTTTTGTTGCCAATCATCGTCGCTTTTATCTTCTTAATACTTTTACATGTTCCCTCTATAAGTCTATATAAAAAAAATCTACTTTCTGTTTCCAAATTTGCTAACGATAATTGTTTCTAAGTTTCACCCATATTTTTGTCTTCTGAAATACTATCGCACGGACAATATTCTTCTTAAAGGACTACTTCATGACGATCTCTACTATCTACCTTCTAAAGATTATCACTCATTGCTCTCCTAGCTTCAACATCTGAGTCACCCTCCCTTGCAACATGGCAACATCATTTTGGACATGTTGCAATGCCTACTGTTCGAACAATTCTCTCACGCAATTTTTTTTTATTTTGCACTAGTAATAATGATTTTTAATCATCATGTATTATGAGCACATGTCATTAATTGTCATTTACTTTATCAAATCCACTACTAGTGCTCCTCCAGAAATAATTCATTGTGACATTTAGAGACCTGCTCCTATAACATCAAATAATGATTTTCACTATTATGTTCATTTTTTACAAGTATTCTAAATTCTCGTGGTTCCATCCTCTTGTTTATCGATCTGATATGTATGATGTTTTTACCGAATTTCACATCCATATTGAGAACATTTTGAATGTTAAGATTAGATTTTCAGTTTGATGGTGCTGATGAATTTCTTTCTCAGCGTTTTCAAAATGAACTCATCTTCCATGGGAATGGTTATAGAATCTCATGGCCACATATGCCTTAACAAAATGGTACAACCGAACACAAACATCACCATATTGTTGAAACTGGCTTAGCCCTTCTATATCATTGTGGAGTTCCCTTGAAGTTTTGAGATTGTGCATTTGAAACAAGTGTATATCTTATCAACCGTCTGTCTACAAAACTCTTAAGGGCTCAACTCCATCAAAAACTCTATTTCACACTCGTGATTACAATAATCACTGTGCTTTTGGTTCCTTGTATTTTCCTTATCTCTGTCCATAGACTAATAATAAGTTGGAGTCACGTTATCTACCATGCATCTTTCCTGATTATCCAAATGGCTATGTTGGATATAGATGTCTAGTACCACAAACAGGTTGTATCTTTCTATCTAGTAATATTTTCTTTAATAAAAAAACATTTCCTTACAAATCTTCTCCTCCCACAACCTCCCTCCTTTAATATTCTAGTACCTCCATTGCCCGAAGACTCATCGACTAAATTCTCATTTTCCTCTAATAGTGTTGATTGTAATAATAATCCATAAGATTATTCATTAACTAATATTGAATCTTCTTCAGATAATGTTGATTGTGATACAAGTCCACAAAAGGATAGCCTGCTAGAGAACGAATCTACAATTGCACATGCAACTTCCAAACAACCATTGTTGGTGTATTCTTTTCGTCCTTCTAATCAAAGACCAGAAACAACTTGCAACATCTTCTAACCCAGATTCATCTGTTTCTCATGGCTCAACTCATCCAATGATTACTAGATCTAAAGATGGGACTCTTCACCCTCGTGTATTGGTTGCTTCTCGGTACCCAATAGTCTTCTCAGGTCAAGTTGATAATGTTGAATCAACTTGCTTTTCTCAAGCAAGCACTGACCCCCGTTGACGTGAGGCAATGGCTAAAGAATATAATGCTCCTAGTCCTATCAACAATGGAACATGGACATTTGTTCCACAAACTAGAGGATAGCAATATCACTAGTTACAAGTGGGTGTTCAAAATTAAAAAGAAGCCAGATGGGACAATAGATCGATATGAGGCTCGTCTTGTTACAAAAGGCTTTAATCAGCATGATAAGGTAGATTAGCACGACACTTTCAGACCGGTTATCAAACCAGTCACCATCAGGATTGTGCTCTCTTGCTATATTTGGTGGTTGGCTCATTCGACAACTTGATGTCAAAAATGTTTTCCTACGTGGCACTGGATGAAACAACCTCCTACGTGGCACTTGAAGTCTTGTACATGAAACAACCTCCCTATTTTTTTTGATCCAGAGCATCCATAGATGGTGTGTCGTCTTCAACGTTCTCTATATGGCTTAAAACAAGCTCCTCGTGCATGGTTCAATCATCTCAGACTCTCAGTCCATTTCTAAAGCTCCTACGTGGCACTTGAAGTCTTAAACAACCTCCCGATTTTATTGATCCAGAGCATCCATAGATGGTGTGTCGTCTTCAACGTTCTCTATATGGCTTAAAACAAGCTCCTCATGCATGGTTCAATCATCTCAGACTCTCAGTCCATTTCTAAAGACATCGGTTTTGTGAGCTCTCGTGCTGACGCTTCTCTTTTTATCCAGCACACTTTTACTTATATCGTCTTCATGCTTGTCTATGTTCAATCCTTACGGGCAGTCCTAGTGCACCTATTTTTGAGCTTATAAATTCTCTTGGACGGGAGTTTGCAATGAAAGATCTAGGTCCTTTAAATTTATTTCTCAGAGTTAAAACCCACAACACTCCTTCCGACCTAGTCCTTAGCCCAAATACATTTTGCACCTCCAACAGAGTCATACGGATGGTGCAAAGCCTATCTCTACATCAAATGCTCCTAGTTACAAGTCATCCTCTAATGATGTTGATCTCTTTTCTGATCCATCACAATATCAGAGTATTGTGGGAGCCTTGCAATATCTCACATTAACTCGTCCAGACATCGACTATGCTGTGAATCAAGCTTGTCAATTCATGCATTCTCCTACCGATCTACACTAGATGGCAGTGAAAAGAATTCTTCCCTATCTCAAGCACACCATAAATCATGGCCTGATTTTCTCAATGAGGTACTCTCCTTACCTTCATGCTTATTCTAACGCGGATTATGCTAATGATCCTCATGATCGCCGCTCCACTGGTGGATACTGGATACAGTTTTTTCTTGGTTCTAGTTTGATATTCTGGAGCTCAAAGAAACAACGTACAGTTGCCCGGTCAAATACAGAATCCGAATACAAAGCATTCGCTAATGCTACATGTGAAGTCATGTGGATGCAAAGTCTCCTTCACGAATTAGGGGTTCGTCCCCCAACTGCCCTAACTTTATGGTGTGACAACATATCCACTATCTTATAGCCAATCTAGTGTTCCATGCTCACACAGAACACATTGAGATTGACTATCACTTTGTTCGTGAAAGGGTGGCTCGGGGTCAGCTTAATCTTAGCTTTACTGCCTCTCTTAATCAAATAGCAGACATTTTTACCAAAGGGCTTTCTACATCTCGTTTTGTCGCACTTACATCCAAGTTGATGGTTTGTGAACAGCCCATCAACTTGCGGGAGAGTGTTGACCAGATTCATTGTGTGGCTTCAAATGGCAATGAATCCAAAGATGGAAGGACAGAAATTTGATAGATTTATCACATGGCTGTCCTGCAGTGATTAGTGCATAAAATCCCTCATGAATCACACACTTAGCACATGGTTTGGCCATGGTTTGATTGCTGTAATTAGTACTTGTAACCAGTAACTTAAATCACTCTAGATTCCTTGTAGTTGTATGAAGGATTAAGTTGTGTATAAATAGTGGAGCAATTGTACAACAGAAATACACAAGAAAATACAACAATTATTCTAACAATTCTCTTCTCTTCTTGTGCAGATTTTTTAGTTTCTAGGGGGGAAACACAATGGAATTTTTCGTTTACACAAAAAAAAAGGGAAGTTGTGGAGGAATCAAGATTTCTTTCAAGTTTTTTGGAGAAAAGTTAGAAAACACATCAGTCCATATCAACTTTGGTTAAGAGTTACCAATCTATAGGTGGAATTGCTAACTTCATAATTCTCCTGAAAACATAAGGGCCTAGATGACTATATATTCTTTAAAAATATCAGTTTTGACTTCCATATCAAGTAATGAAGAGCCAACACGAGCTGGAAAGGATAGGTCAGGATTGAAAAAGCCAATCCGATGAAATTGGAGGCCTAGTTTAAACAGAAATGCTAAGCTGGAATTGGAACAATCATTGATTGACCCAGAAATTTGTTTTTGTGATAGGAATCAGGTTAATTTTCAAGAGAACCTTTCCAGTCCAGCAGCCACATGGCTCGTAAAATCAAAATACAGATATTCGAGGAGATATTTCAAATTTTATGGTCTGCGAGAACTTTTCACCAACAGAAGATCACCTTGTGAGTTACAGATTTATAGCCTGCAAGAAGTTTTGATCAACAAAAAACCACTTTGAAATTTGAATTGTGGGCTCTTTAATTGTTAACAAAGTTACAATTTGTTAGAACATTTTAAAAATTGTGCGTTTATTGAACAATAAAGACCGCTCATTTTGAGCACATCAAAGATACTCCTGGACGATGCTCCAGATACTAGTCTCAAGATACCAAGTTCGACAATCAAGATGTACACGTAAATCGAAATTCCTCAAAAGGTAATGCAAAGTGACGCGCAAGCAAGCGCATTTAGCCAACCCCCCCGCCTGCCACATGGCACACGCATTGTAGCTCCCCCCCACGTGTGGTGCGTTGGGGGAGCGGGAGGGGGGCGCATTATCCACAAAAGCAACATTATGATTGTTAAACTCCTTGTTTTGACTCTCTACCGAACAAGAGAAAATTGAATTTGAATTTGCACTAAATCATCCGTGCTGAACTTAATTGGTAGACTATGTGCTTTCTACGGTTAGTGGCAGGACGTGCAAACACATACACTATGACGGGCCCAGGTTGCACATTGACAATGATATCAAATGATGCTTCCCTGATTTATGCTCAATGCAAACTACTTATAGGTTGATATTCATGCAGCCATTTCTTATAAAAGTAATGCAATAAGAAGAATTAGAGCAAAATCTCTTTGCAACGAAATCTATAAACTTCAGTTTTTCAAATGAGGTTCGAGCATGCACCCTCAATTTGAACCAGCCAAGCATGCCTCGCCTCCGGTTTCTTTTATCAAACTTTAGGTTATCATCTAGGCCGCTGGTATCATATCTTCCTTCTGCCAAGAATTCTGAATCCAGACTAACAGCATCATCATCAGCAGTGTATTCCCGTTTCCTATCAGGCAAATAAGCAAGCTGCAACAAGAAGGAAAAAATATAAAATAATATTAGATATAATCATAAGTACACTTGGGAAAAAATGTCCCATTATAAGTGGATTTTGGTGTATGCATCATGACCTATGCCATGCTGGACCAGTGGAGCCATATATGACCAGGCAAGACTAGAAGTTTAATCAGTTCAAAGCTATGTATATTTAGAGATGCTTGCATAGCAAGCTTGATTAAAAGAAAGCATGAAGTTGCAACACCCCCTACTGTATTAAATTTCCCAGAAGAGATGGTTCCCACTTACGCTTAAGTCTGTTTTCCATTAACAGAAGATCAGCACAATCAGCCATGGCAAGTCCTTACACCAAAATAGATTTGAAATAAACTAACATGCAAATTCCCATCCACATGAGTCAGGTTCAAAAGTTCAGGCAATAACCACCAAAAACTAAGGTTCTTGATTAAACGCCAAGATGATTACTACCTATCGTCAAGATTTTGACAAAGGCTACTTTGCAGAAGAGGCAAGCCTAACATGGAAGTTGGAAGGTAAATTTCCTTTTCAGCAAGTGTAGCACCACTAAGAGAAACAAATGAAAAAAAATTACGTTTTCCTTTTAACTGTTCACTAATGCTTCCAAAATCCTAACTCGTGTGTGTGTACATACAAACATACATACATACATATATGTATGTATGTGTGTGTGTGTATGTGTGTGTGTGTGTGTGTGTAAGAACCTTCTTCTGCTAAACAATCAAAATACTGTCTAAATCATTTATTTCAAATAATACAATACAATCCCAACTTATCCTTAATGAGAAGCGCAAGGAGTCCATAAACATGTGTTCACGTACATAAGATAATAGAAACAAAGTATATGTTAGATGATCACCTCATCTTCCCCAAAAGAGTGTCTTCGTCTTTGCCCAGCCTTTTCTGTAATACTTGAAGATACTGTATTTTTCGTGGAGACCAATATTAGTTTCGTTAACCGTTGAATTCTACCCATTAAAGCTGCCTTTGCTTGTTCCTCCTCTTCCAATCTGGACTGTAACTTGACTTGCCCAGCTTCAAGCTTTCATAATTCAAAAAAGAAAGGTTAGGAAAAAAATATCAAAACACTTGGAACAACAAACAAATTCAGGCAGTCTGTCACAGTGATCATGTTCTGTTGCAGCAAAACTATCATTTAAAACAACAGCACAAGAAGCTCAGAGAAACATATAGAACAGTGCATAAGCAAAATTACAGTTCATTAATAAAACATCTTTAATCTTCAGCACACTCCAATTTAGGAATACTAGGAAATAGTCATACATTATAAAGGGGGATTATGCATGGATTATTTCTTGAGAAAGGGTATTTATGTGCCATATTTTTGTTTATAAACCTTAGCAATGTAAGATAACATTTTGAGGGAGAAAACCAGAGATATATTTGCCCAGAAAATAGCTTGACAGGCTTTACAACACACATTGATCAGTCCGGATTTCAGAATTAAGAATGAATATTAAAAACTAGAAGGTCCCTTAGAACAAAATGTGCACTATCGTCATCCATAATCTCAAAAAAAAGGTGCTCTATCATTGGTAAAGGTAGAAGGGTAGATATCTGACATAATTGTGGAGTTGAAAATTAGATGGAACAGATGTTATTTACATAAAGAACACATTATGTTCACGATTTCTTTTTCTTTTTCCAAAATGCAAGTGACAGGTTCTTTTGGATATGGAGATCGAGTTTCTTTGATTATATTGTTTAGGCAACAAAAGTGTGTGTGCACACGCATGTGAATATGGTTATGACTTCCCTTGACTATACTATTTAGGCAATAAAGGTGTGTCTGCATTAAATTTCAAACACTATGGCCATTGAAACCTTGATAGGTAAAGGGGTGGGTTGGAGTTGGATCAAATAGAGCGCAGGTAAAAGTTCCCGCCTAGGTTTCCCAGACACTTCATCTTGTCTCCCGTATACATGTCTGTGTCGGACACTCCTTGGACACTTCTTGAGTATATACATACATTTATGCAGACATGTGCCCAAGTATACAATACATGTTTTAGTTTAAAACACTCGTGATAGTTTAAAACACTCGTGGTACCCTTCTTGGATGTATATCTTACACTTCACATCAAATTTCTGCAACTTGTTGGACTCGGATCGGGAACATTTCAGCCCATATCATGTATATAAGTATGATTCTAAATGATGAATTTAAATATAAGTTATATAGACTTTACTTCTCATAATATGTAATAAAAAATAATATCACTCGTATATATTATTAATTCCAATAATTATATACATAGTCGTGTCCCCGTATCCTACATTTTACAAATTTGTTGTATGCCGTATCCGCACCTGTGCAACATAGGTTCAGACTATAGACTTCATTCAAAAGAAAAATAAAACTGGACAAAGAAAAAGAAACCCTCTGGTTCACATTGGATGTATCCGTCAATTCTTCTACATGAAGTGTATATGGAGCAACTATTGCTACACATATTTGTATCCATTTTTCATTTAGCAGATACAAATACGGATATGGATATTATCCTAGTAGAAAACTTATCCCCATTTGATAGAAAATAATTTGTGCTCAAACTAAGTTCAGATATTAACAGAAGATTACTGATTATGGCTGAAGTTTGAAGAAAATATGAGTCCAATCTTAATGTATAGGGTTAATTTCACAAAAAAAACCCTGAACTTTGCTTTAATTTGCCAATAAGTAATAACTAAAACTTCTTTTAGAAGATAAAATCCATATTTTAAGAGAGGGGGTATGCTGCCTGTAATATGGACTTTAGTTCTCATAATATGTAATAAAAAAATAATATCGATCTCATATATATTATTAATTCCAATATTATATACATAGTCATGTCCCCCTATCCTATATTTTACAAATTTATTGTGTCCCGTATCTGCATCCATGCAACATAGGTTCAGATTATAGCCTTCATTCAAAAGAAAATTGAAACTGGACAAATAAAAAAAACCTCTGGTTCACATTGGATGTATCCGTCAATCCTTCTACATGAAGAGTGTATATGGAGCAACTATTGCTACACATATTTGTATCCATTTTTCATTTAGCAGATACAAATACGGATATGGATATTACCCTAGTAGAAATAGAAAACTTATCCACATTTGATAGAAAATAATTTGTGCTCAAACTAAGTTCAGATATTAACAGAAGATTACTGATTATGACTGAAGTTTGAAGAAAATATGAGTTCAACCTTAATGTACAGGGTTAATTTCACAAAACCTCCCCATATCCTACAGTTTAGCACTTTCATTTCCATATCCATATTTTACACACAGGTAAGACAAATATCCATATTGTCTAGATCTGGATACTTGTATCAAATTTGAATATGATTGCTTGTATCTGTTACATCCCCAGAGGAAATGATATTATATGTAAGGGAGAGTGGCAAATTCATTAGCTTAAAAAATTGAAAACTTGGGTTAGTATCTAAAGAAACTGTGTTAAACTGTTGATGCATCATCATGTGTATAAATAGTCACATCAATGAAGCTAGGAGAACAATTGCCCTAGTGGAGGATGCTGTGAGACAAAACAATCACGACCACAACTTGTTGGGCTTCACGGTGAAATAGTAGAGGCAATTGTACAAAAGTTTACACACCAAAATGGGTAATTAAGAAGGTATAACTGAAACCAAAAGAAAGGAAATATAAGAAACTGCGGTGAGAAATTTGAAACAGGGAAATAGTCGAGCAGTAAGTAGTAATAAGGTATTAACCATGTTTAATTTGATTTAGCTGGAAAAACAAACCTGAAGCTTCAAATTGACAAGATCTTCTTGATCGGAAGCTACTAAATGGGGTTTCTCCATCATACCACGCTTCAACTGCTGCAGCTCTTCTTTCAAGCAGGAAATCTCCTTTTGGTATTTTTTTATAAGAGATTTCTCGTCCACTATCTAGAACCATTCGGTGAATCAGTTCTACTTGTAAAAAATAAATAAATTACCACATACAAATAGAACAACTACCACCTTGTTTTGAGACGCCTTTATTTCCACGTGCTTGCTACGGTGAGCAAACTTCAACGTATTGTGTGTCTCTTCACTGTTGCTTGAAGCAGGTGTAACTGTGCAGATCAGCTAGAGAGAGAGAGAGAGAGAGAGATGAATTAACTGCTTAAGTTTGTAAATAGAAGACAAGTCATTCACTTCTGAAAGACCATAGCTAAGTACGCAAATGTGGTAATTGAAATTAATAGTATCAAACCACAACTTTTATTATGATATGCATACAGCTAATAAAGCAACCAAAGTAGGCTTTAAATTTTGAAGATAAAAGGAAAGGACACTTACGGAGACTTGCCCGTGTCCACTAAGAGAAGACTGCAGCAAACGGGTGAGTTTTGAATCTCTGAAGGGGATGTGTGTAGATTTACCATCCGTTAGTTTAGAGATCACCTGTATAAAGGAAACAAAAACAAAATCTAGAAACGTATAGGAGCTTCACTGGACAAAAGAGAGATTCTAAATAAATGGAATTGGAGCAAAAGAATGAGCATGTCTTGAAGTCCCCAGTACTATAGACTCCGAAGTTGTGCTGCAGGTTGAGGGAATAGTATTTTATACTCTTAACATTTGTTTCTGTTCACAGACCCCTTTTCTGGGGGTCAAAACATTGCTTTTTCAGTAGCATTGGTTTATAGGTGCTCCAAATTTTGTTTTTTCAATGTATCGAAGACAACGGTGAATACCCGCTGAATTTCCCTTCACCAAACAATCCAGATGCCCGTTCCACTGGCACCAAAGTGAACATTCTAACTTCTAGGTCTCGATACTAGGTTTTATCTGCCCTGTTCATAATCTATTGACCTCTGTTGATCTTTCCCCATTAGCTGTTATGAGACTATATCTTAGTAGAAACCAGTAAGTGAAGGGTATGGCAGAGCAGCTGGCATTCCTAGTAGAAGGTGACACAGATAAGGCCTAGGGGAGATGCAAAAGCAGACAACGGCACTAAAAGTGAGCACATGGTAGGTTACTGAATGATTACAGGGTTTGTTACTGAGTAAGAGGATGGAGCCCATGGCTGCAAAGACAAATATAGTGGGGATGAGGCACCAGGCGAGAGTGGCGTGCATGATATCGAGATGGTAGGCATCCTCAGTGCGGCTGAAGAAGCAGCAGGGCAGCAATGCGGCTAATTACAATAGATCACGATGATCGTAAGCATCCTCAGGGCAGTCGATGAAGCAACAGGGTAGCAACGCAGCTAATTGCAATAGATCATATGTGTGTATGGAAATAATGGATGAGATGACTGTTCATTTTGCTAAATGAGCTACCAAGAGATAGTCATGTGCTGACGCGCACCTTGCTAGTCACATCAAAAGGTGTGGATCTCACCACTCTATTTCTTGGTAACTCACTTAGCAAAATGAATCGCCACCTCATTACTATCATTATATGTATATGTGTGTGTATGCAAGCAAGTCTCCTGTAGGATATGAGATTCACACATCGTAGCCATCCATTTTTAACCCAACGATCACTATAAAAAAATCTTTAAATAAGAATAATCAAATCTAATATCCCCAATTCTGGCACACATCTCTCTCTCTCTCTCTCTCTCTCTCTCTCTCTCTCTCTCTCTCTCTCTCTCTCTCTCTCTCTCTCTCTCTCTCTCTCTCTCTCTCTCTCTCCCTCCCTCCCTCCCCCCACACCCAGCGTATCTCTAGTTTTGTTTTCTGATCGTGTTGTCTCTGTGGTCTTTCCTTTCTCGGACCTGTCTCTCTTGTCTCTCAATATAAATGGACAGGACAACGTATTACTTATTTTAGATTGATAATTTGATATATCAATGAATTTGTGTGTCTGCTCACCTTTTCACTCAAAAATGAATGTGTTCACATTTGGATAAAAGCTTATTATTGAAGCTAAATCAATGATAAAGTCTTTCTTTTCTTTTCCATACATTTATAAATCTTTCAAATCAAATCTCGCCAGCAGCATCCCGTTGTCCGTTTTTTTTTTCTTTTCCATACCTTTATAGGTATTTCATATCAAATTTCACCAATGGCATCCAGTTGTCCTCTTTTTCCCTCTCATCATATAACCGGACTCATAATATTCAGTCGCTGTCAAAACCTTTGTCAATCTCGCCAATGGACCTAAAGTCGTTTTTCAGTTGCCAATGGACAAGAACTCCTCTCTGACATTAACCAGCCTCTCCACTAATGTTGCAAGTTGAACAAGAGAGGTATAGTTAATATTAGTTTTATTTAAATGGTTGAACAAGAGAGGTACAGTTAATATTGGTTTTATTTAAATGGTTAGATATAGCCATTGAGGGACCAGATTGCAATAAACCTATGATTTGAGGGACTAAGGAGCAAGTTCATAGATTTGAGGGACTAATACGGAATTATTGAAGATTTAAGGGACTAATATCTAAATAACCCATATGTCTGTGTGTGTGTGTGTGTGTGTAGATGAGCGCGCGCATGGAAAAGTCGTCCTAAGAACTTTTACCACACTTGTCAAAATTTATGAATCCTAATGATTCCAAGTATGTCAAAATTTAGGAAACCTAATGATTCCAAGTATGTAGCTATACGCTTGAAGTGTAGTGGAGGTTTGTAAAAGTCTTGATACTGCTTCTACCCTTGATCCTCTCTCTCTTTATTCCAACTCTGGTGGATTTCATTAGTTCATCATTTAATATAAACAGGATGTTCAGCCTGTCAGGACACCTCTATGCACTGATATTTAAAAGGTAAATTTGAGAAAGACATTCCAACATCTGACATGGATTGTTCATTTTAGCTTATAAAAGGAAAAAGGTAGCTGATGCAATGAGAGGAAAAGCAACTTACGGTCCCCAGAGTAAGCAAACTTTTGTTAATGTATGAGCCTTCTTTACGCCGCAGCCCAGTTGTTTCAGTCTTTGAACTCTCTGATCCTGCAAGGTCAATTAAGTTCTGAAAAAAAGAACTTTAGTTGTAGAACTGACCAAAAATAATCACAGAGTACAGGGACATAATTTAGATATTAATGGAGGTAAGCGCAGAATGAATATAACTGACTTCTCACATAAACGACCTTACCAATTGGGACAAGGTGACATCTTCATCCCCATGACTTTCATCACATGGACTGCTTTCAATAGTCTGCAGAGATTATTATCAACTATTAGTGTATTATTCATCAACTACAAGGGCTAATTAAGTCAAACACTGTAGGGTCGAAAAATTGATATTAGCGTTTTTGTCAGTTTTGAGCTTCTTTGCTAGGAATTAAGGCAATTTTTATTGCCTACAAACAGTAGCATGGAAAAGTGTTGCTAATCCAACCAGAGCGCAAAATTTAGAAATGAAGAAAGGGCCACAGATGCTCGAAACTAAACGTACGACCCAAAACCAGGAATATAAACAAGCAGGTTCTATGCATGTGCTTTTTCCAAAGGGAAATGATACCATGAAATGGAAATATTTTTATTTACCATCTCCAGCAAAGTGCCAATATAATATCACTGTTAGTTCAAATAGACAATTGGTAACACATAACGAAAGAAGAAACATAATATAACATCAGAACTCACAAGCATCTCATGAGAATTTTTTCAAATTGATAATGCTTCAAAACTGACATGTCGTCTGTAAATGGCACAGCATATTCAGATAGCTGTGAGAAGTGACCATAAGACATTCTACTTAAATTTGCATGGTTTAAAATTCCATCCAGATTATTAACAGCATTTATGAGAAAAAGGAATGTGAGATGCCATAATTTCCATGTCCATAAAAAATATTCATCCATTAAGAAAAAGGGCATGATTTATTATGAGTACTATTATATTTATATTTCTTTTGTACAAGGTTGATGTGTCTTGAAACACAATAATTTTACCCTTCTCATGGTCGATAGAAGCCTTAGAACCACCAGAGGAACACAGAACAAAACTAAGAAAAAAATTATTCTACTTTATCATCCAATGACATGAACAGATGACAATTGAGAATTCATAAAATAATCCCAGAAATGTATACAACAAGTTATGTCAGCGACTAACAGCATCCTTGTAATGGGATCAAGTAAGAGTTTGACAATTTCTACCCACTTACTATTAGAGTTTCCATGCATGTTCTATATGACACACATGCCAATTCGTGTCACGACTTGTTTGGATTCTTCTATGTGAGGTTCTCACAATCATGTTACAGGGAACTTCAACTGTGATTCCGTGAAGGTTAATGATTAATCATTTGTTGATAATCTCTTGGTCGTTCAAACAGTAAAAGTTTCAGAAACAATCTTGAAGGTATGGTCATGTACCAACAATAAATCACCAAGTAACATCATAATTACCTTTAATAATGGACCATTTGTCCATGAAACTATAAACAGTCAAAGAGACTATAAGCCCAGCAGACACTCAAATGATTCAAAGGGTAACAAAGCTCTGAGATTGGCACGCAAACTATTAAATCAAAAAGTTCAGTGCCTTAGCACAAAGAAGTTTTTCATCAAGTAAAGATATCAGCGTACAGAATCTTAAACTCTACAAAAGATGTTAAACTTGAGCAAATAACACATCAAAGACTTGCTAATGGAGACAGAAAAATAATTACCAAGGTGAAAATAGTGTGACTTCGGCTGCTGAGGAGATTAAAGTTATTGGAACCCACATGTCTGTGCTCTGCAACCACAGATTATAGGAGGTGAAAAACAGCAAGGGCTCCAAAAATAAGCATACAGGAAGTTAATCACATCAATAGGGAAAAAAAAACAGCAGAAAGAAGAATAGAGAAGAGTGTGAGAAAAAAAAAAGGAAAGAAACAAGTTCACACTCTACACAGTTCTACTTGACAAAAGTCCCAAAAACTGTGCATTTACCAAATGGCCAAAACTTTCCAAATGGTTACTTAGAAAACACAATATATATGTTAAACATAAAAGTAGAATGTTATACATGATAACAAAAATAACATGTTACCGCTTTTCCATCTGAAGTGGTTTCAAAGAAATTTTTGAGCAAGAATTATTGAATATTATTTTGGTGGATTAATATAAATTGGCGAGAGAATGGTTTAAGGAAATTTTCCAAAAGAAAAACCATACAGATCTTTTATTGGTCATTGTTTAGCTTATCATGTACATCAACATAATGCAATATGCCTCCATAGAAAACATATAAAACAGCAAGCCATGGACATGACATGAAAAGAGACAATAAAAAATAGTACAGCCCCAAGAAAAGAAAAATAAGAAATTTCTTTTTGAAGGAAATGTCAGGAAGATCCCACCTCCCCTCCCACACCCTCTCCAGCCAAACTGTAGGGTGTTTCATTGAACAGTTTTTAGAGAAACAGAGTAAAATAGGTAGGGAGTTTTTATTCTTTAATCCCTCCAGGCACTACTACACATCATTGGACGAACTAATTGCTCAGTGTATCTAAGAACACCTAACTGCCTAGGCACTTATATAGGAATGGGATTGCCTCACAACATTGTCCAGCACATTGCATTCTTAGGTAGGCACCATGTCACTTGTTCATTCTCAGGCTTCCTTCTAGCAAATAAGCAGAAAAGGGATGAAGACATAAAGTTGGGAAGAGAGGCAAACTACCCCACGCATTACAATAATCAAAGACCTTGACAGCATAATACAAAGCAAGCAAATATTATTAAATAAGTAAATAGGACGATGAAGTTCAGTGTGTTTGGGCTGATACCTTCTCCAGATGCTATTAAAGAAAGAGCATGAGCAGGTGATAGAACGACCTCTTCTTTAATTCCATCAACATATGTTCCCTACATCATACTTCAACATAAGAAAGAACTTATAGACAAGTAAATAAACGTCCAGAGAAATAGATGTAAAGAAAGATGAAACTAGATGTGGTGATATCAACCATCTTTCAACAGAGCCACCCCCATCCCCACACAAAAAAGAAGTAACCCCAAAAGCAAAGAAGTAGCGGTGAAGACCCGAAAGGTAAAACATACTTGATATTTTTTTGCAACAAGCTCAGTTTGATGTTGTTGAAATTAATTCTAAGGGAAGCAAGAGACTCAACTCTGGAGCTCTGTTGATCTCTTATATTTAAACTAATAGGAATTAAATACATGTTATATATTATTAGGAATATGCTAAACATATTTTTAGCATATTCCTTTATTCTGTCAATCACATCTCTAATATCTTTTAACTATATATTCCTAATATATTATTTCTAATATAACTATAACATCAATCTCCACAATATTTTCCTTAACACTCCCCCTTAAGCTGGAGCATGTATATCATATATGTCCGGCTTATTACAAATAAAGTGCACACTCTAATCTGTAACATAGCTCAAAAAGTCAAACTATTCAGTATGTGACCTCTTTGCAGTAGTCTTGATCTTCGAATCTTCCACTTAAATTCAAATCAATTGATCCTCTCTCAGGTTCTATGAAACAAAAGCTCCTTTCTAGAATCCACCTAACAAATCATCCTTTATAGGGATCCACCAATCAAATGATCCTCATCACGGATCCACCAAACAAATGAATCTGAAATGATCCTCAACGATCTAACAAACAAATGATCCTTCTTATGGATCCACCAACCAAATGATCCTCTCTGACATCTAACAAACAGATATATGCCAAACGAATGATCCCTATTTAGGAATCTACTAGACAAATGAAGATGAGCGAATAATCTTCACCGAACCAATCTCCAAAATAAAAAATAATTTTCACTACACCAATCTCTTAACACATAACCAACGGAACAATCTCTACCAAACCAATCTCCAAAACCCAAACCAAACCATCAAAACAATTTTCGTTGTATTAATCACAAAATATGTTAAGCCTAGCACAGCCTTAGCATCCTTTCAAACCAACCAAATGCCAAACACCTTCCTTCCATTCTTAACCAAGCCAACCAATACATAACAAACTTCATAACTTCATATCCAATTTCAAAGATAAAAAATCCAAACACTTATAAATCAAGATCCAACTTCAATGAGGAGGGCATGTCCATTGGGGATGACTATCACGATCAATGACGGCGTTCTTGACCATCAACAATGGAGGGGGAAATGAGGCGAGCAAGGTGACACTGTTCATTATAAACAGTAAAGACTCACCGTTCTATGAACAGTCACCGAGGAAGTATTTACAAACAGTCACTGAGGTACTGTTCACAGTGAACAGTACATGAAAGAAAGGAGGTGGCAAGACAGAGGGAGGAGTTCAATGTTGAGGAATTGGGGGGCTACAGCTTTGTGAGGATCTAGGGTTTTGTAGAAAGTAGAAACTAGGATTTGCTTGGCTCTGAGACCATGTTGAAATTAATCCTAAGGGAAACCAGAGACTCAATTCTATGTTGACCTCTTATATTCATACTAACAGGAATTAAATAGATGTTACATATTATTAGGAATATGCTAAACATATTTTTTGCATATTCCTTTTATTCTCTCAATCACATCTCTAATATCTCTCAACTATATATTCCTAATATAACTATAACATCATAGATCTACATAATATATTCCTTAACAAATGTTAACCCCTAGAATTGGTGCTGAATTGCTAATCAAGGAAGGATGAAAGAGGGGCTTGCAAAAAGGGAAAAAAACAGCTGGCAGCTAGTGAACCTAACCCCAATGGGCCATACAGTTTCCCATGCAACCAAATGCAATTTACAGATTTTTCTAGACAGTAAAAAAGTCTTCACAGAGTTAGGAGTAACGAATTTTTTTTTTAAATAGAGGATCATACCCGTATCTGAGGCGTAACATACAATTGGCAAATAGAACTGTCCAAAAAACCAAGTGATAAAAAACAAGATAAATGAACCTGATTTAGACATTAGGCTTGGGCTTGGTGAACCAAACCAAGAATAGCGCTTAAACAGAGCAAAGACAAGCAAGCATTTCAACAAGTAGGAAAACAAAACGCAAAAATAAAATAAATACACATAAACATGTCATGTTTGAGATTGAAGTAAGTACATGAAATAATGAACAGTGTAACTAGGGGAAAATAATCACTCTATAAAGTCCCACTGGGAAAAATATTTATATCTTATAGTTTGCATATGATACTGTTAAACCTGTAATACAAAGAACCACATCGTATAGTTTTAGATCCAACAGAACTTACTCATCAATCAAAACACTTAACCAGGGAAAGCCTTTTATACAAATCTTCAATATCATAAGCCATATGAGAGGATTCTCCCATATACAAATGATGTACTGCATTTTATGGAGACAAACAACAAAACGTAAAGTCATGAACTACCAAGTAAGGTAATCCTGGTTAGCTATTCTATGTTACCTGTGAATCTTCTCTTATCCTAAGGTTTTGTCCTGTTGGATCAAGCAAGTCATTAATAACCTGAGGAAGAAAAGAGTATTTAAGTCAATAATTGCATAAATTAATTACCATTACTCCATGCAAAATATAGATAAACAGCTTTGTGTGATGTACAATTAAATTGAAATATGCAAACTTATAACCCGGAAATAGAAACAGATAATGCTTAGTAATTGGGTTTCCATTTAAAAAACAGGATGGGTTATTAGAACTGCATTTAGAACTAGACGGCAGCCAAAAGAGAAGAAGCTCAAGAGATACCTGTTCTCCAGCAAATAAAGAGGACGAGGGGGCAGAAAAAAGTATAAAACACCAACCACAATGAAGAAATTAAATAAGGACTGAATGCAACCAGAGGGTTATACACAGGAAATCAATTCGCTTGATCATATTTTTGTGAGCTTCATAACCTACTGGTCGAGACCTTTTACAAGAAAATTTGTTTGACCACATCTTTTTAAATAGAGCATAAATCTGATCAGTATCATGAGAGGGATTGAAAAAATAAAATGGGAAATAGTTGCTTATAATGCTCCGTTCTCTTCCAGTTCGAAAGATGCCTTGAAATTACAAATGTCTAGTATTGACCTAAATCAATGGTCAATATCTAATCATATATACAAAGAAGGAAGATTTTCAGAAGTAACAAGGCAGCAGATCATAAGGATGTGAAAAATAATAGGATTTGCCTACACTTCAGTAAACCATTAAAATTCAAGGAACTTTTTGAAAACTAGTTTGTCCTGTGACATATGAAATTTCAAACTGTCACCTCTTTCTCTCACCACAGTATTGAACTCATTAGGTTTTTCAACTAAGACTGGACTCGTATTCACTTTTCACCTATGAAAACTAACAAAACTATCAATAATGAGCCTTGAAGCACATCTATTCATAGAATTCCTTTGCAGAACTGGTGGATGTTCCTTCTTATTTTCAGTGAAGAGTTGAGGCTTAACCCCTCAACACACACACACACACACACACCCAAAAAAAAAAAAGAAAAAACACCCCAACACGAAAAAAACAATAAAGAAAGAAAGAAATGATTCACCCCCCCCCCCCAAAAAAAAAAAAGAAAAAACACCCCAACACGAAAAAAACAATAAAGAAAGAAAGAAATGATTCCAACCACCACCCTTCCAAACAAAATGATGTGTTATTTGAATTTCCATGTAAACACTAACAGCCCATCAAGGTTCTAGTTAAGTTCCCCAGAGTGATGAAGCAACTTATAATTTGCCAAGGGATACTAGAATAAATGGAACAGTAGTCAGAATATGAGTCAACATAAATACAAAGCATTTAATATGCCTTCATGACAATAAAATATAATTAATCTATAAGTTATCACTACTTCAAGTTCTGTTGCTACCTCATTGTATATTTCAAGGTATGAAACACGAAGAAGAAATTCTCGCCCCGGTGTCTGAAACATAAGAGAGAAGACAAGATTAAGTTGAAGAACAAGGAAGACATGCAAAATTTCATTAAATATGAAGATCAGCATATGTTACCTCTTGAATGATGCTAAATACATCTTTCACTGCTAATGGAATAATCCCAGGAGATTTTTGTTCCCCCTGAAAGTTAAATAAGACACAATGTAAACACAAGCAAAGTTACATCTAGAAATAGCATCCTATCATTAAGAAAACCAGATACTTCTCATGCAAAAGCTAATAAATTGAAGCCAACCATAGACATGAAAATTAGATAAGACGTGTATTAAAAAAATAAATCAGACAACAAGATTCTATTTGAAAAGAGTTGTTGTGTAAGAGAAGTTTCATATATTTGGTTGAGTTCTAGAAAGTTCGTGTATAAATAGAGAATTCAATTGGTTAAATCCATAACAAAAGTGAGGGAAATAAGGAGATGTTAACTTGTTATGTCTTCTTTCTCTTGCATTCTGATGGAAAGGAGGGATGCTTACTGAAGGCCTGGATACTATGGTTGCTCAACAACAAACTTAACTATGCTCAAAGTAAATTAGGAAGGAAAAAAAACTTTGAAATAGACTGAATAGTCTAGCATAGGGTAATGTTGGTGAATATGGTAGGAACAGGTATCGGCTAAAAACCTTCTGAATCGTGAATCATATGCTACTTGACTGCTATCCATGCCTTGCACACCCCTACAGTATGCATCCACTATGTTCTTTAAGTAGTGTATTTAACACACTGATTCCACTCTAGACAATCATATCTAATAATGAGCTGAAGAAAACTTGATTCCTAATCAGTAAGAGAGGATAAGGTTCTGACTCATGCCCTATTTTAAGAGCAGACGAAGCATTAAACCTAGCAAATTTGTAAACAACCATCAGATGCAATTAATCTTTGGCATATAGAGATCATGTCTTTCATGACAATCAGCAAGTATCACTGACAAAGTACCTATCGTCTACTATCTTAAGTACCTATCCTCAAATTTTAAGTAAATGCACATAGTTCACAGCTACATAGAGCATAGAAAAATTACTGATTTACATGTATGAAAGGTAAAACAAAATCTCAGTCAAACATACATCAAAAAGATTACCTGATCCATAATAAAAAATTTCAAACCACTAAGATTTTGCACAATAAATCAGTTTCTACTCAAATTCCAAAGTCGTAATTTTTTGCAATGCCAAGAGTTACAACAAAACATAAAACAGTAATCACATAGGAAATACACCAAACAGATACTCCACAGATGCAACAAAATCCTGTATTAGGAAATTATTGAAGGCTTTTCCTTTTATGCCTGAGAATTTTAAGAACTTACATGCATGGTGTGAGTCTTTCCGCTGCTAGTAACACCATAAGCAAATACAGTACCTGTGATAATCCAAATAAGTAAGCAAGACAGCATCCAAACAAGCATTTACTTGATACCGAGAGGGGGGGAGAGCAATATTTCATATAATAGAAAACAATGCATTAAAAGATTTGGAGATGCTCCTAGCCTCCTACAGATATGCTAGCACTATTTTATAAATAAATTACTGCACAATGTACAGGAAGAATCTTAATTAATGTAAATATTAAATAGCCAGTAAATCTAAATGTAAACTGAGAAATATTACCATTAATTCCTTGCATAGCACCACTTACGACATGCTGAGCAGCAACATCATAGACATGCCGAGTTGTAGTCGCTGGCCCGAAAACTCTATCTGCAAAGCAAGGGATGCATGAGATATTTCTCTATGAGAGGAGAGCTCTGAATAAAGATATTCTAAGAGAGGACAAATGGATTCATCGCAAATCAAACTACAGTCCAACAAAATCATCGCATCAGACTGCATAGGAAAGGTTTATACTTCATTGGTGATTCAAACATGTATTATATTCCATGTTTCAAAGTGTATAAAGCAGATAACCAAGTTTTAGCTAACAATTCCTAGTTGGAAAGCAAATCACCAAGAGATGGATGAATATTATGTGAAGTTGGAATTAAGGGATTATTAACAAATTATAAACTGCCGAGAGCAGATCCTTATAAAAATTTCATAGTCAACATATTCATGACAACCACGTCTTAGTTTCCAATTCCTAGCTGGAAATCAAATCACCAAAAAAAAGGATGAATATTATGTGAAGTTGGAATTCAGCTTAGTAAAAAAAAAGGGATAACAAACTATAAAACTGTCGAAAGCATATGCTTATAAAATATTCATAGTCGACATCTTCGTGGCAACTGAACTTTTTCAGGTTCAATATTCCAACAACACTAAGAACACAGGGACCCACCTTGAGTCAAATAAAGTATTCTAAGAACATTTTAGGTTACCAATCAAAATTGAAGGAAAATAGCCAAGAAAATTACTATATTCTTCGCACACGTAAAATCACCCATGTTAGAATTAATATAAAACTATAATTCTCGATCTTCACCTTAACTTCGGAGTTTTGGTGTAATGGTTAGAAAAACTAAATTAAAGATGGTATCAGTGGTTGATGGTTAGAGTGACTAAATTTAAAATGGTATTAGAGCAACCCAGGTATGAATCTTGTTGGCCACGAATTTAATGGGGATTTTAAAAAATTGTTACCGCTTCGTGAGTACAGGTTTTCAGCCCATAAAAAAGGCGTTCAACTTGCGGGGGCATGTTAGAATTAACATAAAACTATAATTTTCAATCTGCACCATAACTTTAGGGTTTTAGTGTAATGGTTAGAGGGGCTAAATTTAAGAACCCACACCCAATACTATGGTGTCTATTTTCTGGTACGGTAGTACCCCTCTTTTCCCTCACCATTTAAATTTCACTTCCCATCATTACACAACCGAATGCAGCCAAACCTCCCACTTCATCAAAACATTAACAACAACTGTCTTAAAGGTAAGGGTGCAAAAATCAGATACGATATTTACTAATTACTATATCCATATCCGCTTACCAATCATGGAGGAGGATATGTCTCAGTAAGGAAAACTCATGTTCATATCCGCCCAAATGGGAAATAGAAACAATTAATATAAGAGAAAATGTATACGGATATAAAACGGATATGAGAAGAGCATATAAGATTGAAAAAATATAGGTCATACCCCGTCATATGATGCAAGGGAGTCCATTAATATGCTCATTATATGAGAAATGCTATGATTAGGTCTCGATCATCAAAATTAACCTCAAGTCCACTGAAAAACAATTTCAACCGTATGACAACACATATTCGGATATTTCAGATATGGATATTTCACTACGTATTCATATTCGTATCCATATTCTATTTTATCCCAACGGGAGGGGGGGGGGGGGGGGGTGATGTTGCATTGTTCTAGCACGTCTGTTTAATGCATTGAAGATACTCCATTATTTGCTGGCCCAAAAAAAACTGAAGAATCCATTGCCATTCAACTCCACTACGCATTATCCGCAGAAAACTAAACCTTTTTCTCAAAAGTAATAGGGTGCATCAACTTTCTTTTACATTTGAAAGGTAATAAACATAACACTAACTCTCAAGAAAGAGTAATCAACGACAACTCACCAAAACCATAAGCAATGGACGAGTTGTACTCATTCCTCACAGTACAATCCCCGTCAGCATACCACGCAATCTCATCCCCTTTGTTGATCTCCCGGGCGCTTCAAACAAAACAAACAAACAAACACAAGCTCGATCAATCAGCCGAAGCAACAAAAAACCACAAAAATCACTAACTTACCTCAGAGGCCGAAACCTAACAGTAACAGTAACGTTCTCCTTTGACTTCGCTACAATATCAGGCGGACTAGCCGG